AATTATTTCTGATTTCATTTTTCCCAGATCTTCTTTTGTTGCCAGTTCAGAGAGTCCAGGTGGTTGAGTATCAGAGTGTTCCATCTCGTTTCCCTTTGGGGTTACTGCAGGTGATCTGGAAGTCAGTTTTTGAGGCTTGTTTATGTGTCTTCTCATTTCCACGGGGTGGGTGGGGGGGTGCTTCTGGCACCTGTGCGGCTCAGCTTCCCTGTCCTAGGAGCTTGGGATGGCAGCGGGGGAGCTTCCTTCCGGGTTCTGGGACTGGTTCACCTTCTTGGCCCTAGGAGCCTAGGATGGCAGCGGGGGAGCTTCCTTCTGGGTGCTGGGACTGGCTGAGCTTCTCTGCTCTAGGAGCCTGGGATGGAGGCAGGGAGCTTCCTTCCAAATGCTCAAGCATATATTTTCTTAAAGCCAGTTAAATAGAGCTCTTTTATGATTTTATTTTTCAATATCACAAGCAGATAGAAAAAGATCACACAGGGCCAGGGATTTAGCTCAGTGGTTCTGCTGCCTGCCTTGCAAGTGCAAGGTCCCAAGTTGGATCCCAGGTACAAAAAAAAAAATCATACATTTATCATAATACAGACATATCGATACATACACAGAAACAGATCTTATAACTTTAACTCTTAAAATTTTGGCCATCAACCAGGTAAAATAATATGAAACTAATAGATTTATTTAAAAATATATGGATCCCAATTTTTTTCTAGCCAGTGGAATAGAGTTTTCTGTGCAACTAGCTAAAGTCTTTGATGAATATTTGTTTAAAATATTTTTAAGATTTTTTTCTTTTACTTTCTTCAAGGAAGTTTGTGAAGAAGTAAACTTTGATTTATTTAATCTTTAGATGCCTCTGTGTAGTAATGAAAGAATGAGTTCCATTGATTTTGCGTTTTTGATTCTCACTCTTCTGTCTCTGTCAAGTAATGTCATCTAGGTGAAAAATTCCAACAGTGGCCACTGTAACTCAAAAGTTCCAGGCCCATAAGTTTTGTGAATAAAGTTAGCCAGTATCTCAAAAAGTGGACTCTGAGACCCTTGGAGTCCCAGCTGCCTTAGACTTGGAGGCACTGATTTTTATAAACTGTCTAACTGAGGCCTCAATCTGTATGCAATCCAATTAATTATGCTATACTGGACTGAATCCAGTATAAAAATGCTCAGAGAGCCTAAAAGACAAATTTGTGAGCTGAAGTCAGAGAAAACATGCCCATGATCCCTGTTCTTGTGTGAGATCAGTGAGCATGAGGAGCCCTGGCTGATCCATGTGTTTGATTACATGGTACTCCTGGAGTTACTGGAGATCTACTTTAGATCCCTCATTTAATCCTAATCCACTAAAAGAAAAACATAAGACAAATTAAATTGAGTGAAGAAATGATTCGTGAATTGGGAAGCATCCTGAACCAATAAAGGTTGAAAATACTGCACCCAGCAATAAGGGCAAACAGTAGATACAAAGAGAAAGGAAGTTACATACAGAAATACCCTGACTCTCTGAAGTTTTGCTTTTGCCTTATTTGGATATATCTGTGCATTGTGCAGCCTGAGGTTCACTGAAACATTGGCTGATATGTTTGGCCAAAGCTTGGTCATTTGTTATAAGATGATACTCCTTTAGGTTACAGCTTATTAATGTATTAAGTTCCAATACGGTACATATGGAAACAGTTTAGATGAAATTTAATTTGTTATTGTCTATATATTGTCAATATATTGTCTTTGACTTAAACTATTTTTAAAGTCATTCTATACATGTGTATGTAAATTTTCTAAGGAAGTCTTTCAAACTGTACTCTTGATGGCTATTTTTTTCGAGAAAAGTACAGAATTGAAAATGTTTAAATTGTTTATCCTGAAGATTTTATATATATTGTTCAGAGGAAGGAGCCCATACATGTCAGAAATATTGCTATTTTAAATAGCAGCAAAGATGAAAATGTTTTGATAATTTAAATTTTTGACATCTGAATTCTCATATTAGTACATGTAATACATGTCAAAATATAGAAAGCTATTTCAAGAATAGATTTAATGCTAAATTTTTTTTTTGTCTTTTTAGTCTTCAGGAAGACACTCAGGGTCTCATGCATGGTATGCAAGCACTCTACCACTGAGTTACATCTCCAGCTCCTTAATAACTTTTAATACAGCATACTCTTATGGTATTATTCAAACAGAAAATAAAATCCAACCAAAAGCCAAAAGGATTAAATAATTTTTTAAAATTGAGAGTTTTGAAAAGAAAGAGTAAGCATCTACAGTTTTACTACTATTAATATTGTTATTTTTTTTCTTACTGTGGGCCTTGAGGTAATTCACTGTATTGCACTGTAACCCACTCCCCAATGTTTTTGTAGTCCACATAAATTAGATGCATATTATTTTGTTTGTAAGTAATAGCTTTTATCTTTATATTTCAGGGATTGATTGCTGCTGTACTGGGACCCACCTTTCAAGATTTGGCAAGGAATGTGAACCAAGATATGAGTAGTCTTTCTCAAATATTTGTGGGTCGTGCTTTGGGATATTTGGGTGGCTGTGCAATTGGCGGAATTCTCTTTGACCGTATGAACCACTTTTTACTTTTGGGTAAGTAAACATCAATTTCACTTCTTTGTGACTTTCAGAGAATGGTTGGCTACTGAAATGAGGAGTGTTAGTTGTCCTCCATGAAGCTGGGTATCCCTGCTGTCTCTCACCTTGGCAGCGAGAGGGAATCTGTGCTGGGCCCTCAGGAAACCTAGAATAGCTCTCTCTCACATGCGTGCACATACGTGTGTGTGTGTGTGTGTGTGTGTGTGTGT